CCCGGGTTGTGACGCACGCGGCCACGGGCGTGCGCGCCCCCGCGGAGTGCCAGCCCTTCCCTGCGCGTGCGCCTCTTGCGGCCCGCCCCTCCGGCCCTCCGGGGTCGCGGTGTTCGAGGGCTCTGGCTGCTAGCTCCCAGCGGAGCACCCAGGAATTAACTGATGAATGGTCTTCCCATGAAGTGGGTTGATTAGTGCCTTTCCCCTCGTCTTTCATGAAGATCTTTCCTTTATTCTTTCAATACACGCTCAGAGCCTGTTTGTAAGCGCTTACTGAGCACCAGGGACACAGCCAGACGCAGAAACACGACCATGTCAATGTGATTCCCGCTGTGGTGAAGCGTAGGAGCACCCACCTTAGGAGATGACATTCAAGCTGGACCCAAGGCCAGAGCAGGACCTGACCAGCAGAAGATCTGTAGGAAAGCCATCTGCGCACAGAGCACCGCAAGAGCAAAGGCCTGGTCGAGTAAGGATCACCCTGGTTGCCAGGTGAAATGATGGAATAATTCAGGAGTCTGGCAATAGGTCTGTGAGATGTCAAACCGGGAAGACCTTATAGGAGTAGGAGTTTGAGTAGTTTGAGAGCTACAGGCAGAGAAATAAGCATCGAAGAGCTCACTCAGCCAAATGTGTACAGTGAAAAAGGGGAGTAAGACCTAGAGCAGGAAAGACCTCTGTGCCTGTTCCTCCTCTTGAGCACTCTTGCCAAAGTCCCCTGGTCTAGATCTGCACACTCGGCACTGCTTGATGAAGTTGAGCAGACCACACGGCATTGTGACCCTTTGCCCCTGGAGGAGGGAGTATAGGTGAACTGGAGAGGCCAGGCTATTTCCCGGCTTGCTCCTCTCCTCTGAGATTGCAAGGGAATAGAAAAAGGCAAAGACCTTCCCAGGATGTCCATGCCACAGCCTAGGTGCTGATCAAAGGCCCGACAGGCATAGGACAAAATCCTCCTCCTTGCCAGGCCCAGCCAGGAAGAGACTAACTGTAGGCTTTGGAACCTGAAGGGCATTTGGGATAGTTAAGCACCACCTGGTAATTACCCAGTATTGATTAAAATTATCACTAGCACCTCCCATACAGGTTTTGCATACCCAGGAGCTCAGTACAGCTGGGACTGAGCTGCTGGTAGCAGAAGCATCTCATGCCTGCTGGTGCAGAGGCCAGCCCAGGCTCTAGGCTAGGCAGACCTGTGATTACAGCTATGTCAACCTAGGAGAGGAATCATGAACCATCAGCTTTATGAGGGGAGGGGTTGGGTCCAACTTGTTCCCTGCTGTGTCTTGGAGAAGGTTTACCAACTGAATGATAAGTTCCATCACAGCAAGCAGTGTCAGTGAAACTGCTCTCCTGATCTCATAGTCTCAGAAGTGGGATTCTTTGCTTCAAAGTTGTGCTTCTGATCTCAGAATATGAAGACTTCACTAAAGGCAGGTAGTATTGGGCTGGATGGGAAGGGTCCCTCAATTTTTCTCTGCTCTTGGGTAGACTGGCCCTTCCAAGTTTTCTAGGAGTCAGCCCTTGATACTCAGAAAACCTGGGTGTGACTCCCACTGCACTACCATACCTGAGTACCTGCCGCTCTTCAAGCAGTCCTATAGCCAACACTGAGGAAAGGCAAATTTACAATTCCCTTTCCTAGTTTGCCCATGTTTTCAGGTTTTATATGATTTATTTGTTTTATTTTTTATTTTTATTTTTTTGAGTTGAAATCTCACTCTGTCACCCAGGCTGGAGTGCAGTGGCACACTCACGGCCACTACAACCTCAACCTGCTGGGCTCAGGCGATCATTCTGCCTCAGTCTTCCAAGTAGCTGGAACTACAGGCATGTGCCACCACGCCTGGCTAATTTTTTTATTTATTGTAGAGACAAGGTCTTGCCACGTTGCCCAGACTGGTTGCAAACCCCTGGGCTCAGACAGTCCTCTCGTCTTGGCCTCTCAAAGTGCTGAGATTACAGGCTTGAGCCACCATGCCTGGCCTAGGTTTTATGTTTTAAAGGGAACAGGCACTTGTACAATTAAGACTCCAAACTCAGTTATAAAATAGGTGCTCCTCATCTGTCCCCATAGGCCAGCCTCCACGTCCAACCTGGCTCTCTCAACACTTGATTCCCAGAACAGGGGCTCATCTCTGCCCCTTCTGACTAGCCCTTCAGATTTGGAGCCTCCAGGGCCTTCATGAATGCCTTGTTGAGCAGGCCAAAGAAGAGTGTCCTGTAAACAGGAGAGAGCACCAGGAACCTGAGCCCCACATCTTCAACCTTTATACTGTATTTTTCCTGCCTGATTTCAAGCTTGTCCAGCTCCACCACTGGAGGTTACTATGGCAATCAAATCCACAGGCAGCCAGTAAACTGGAAAACAGCTGCCAACAGCAATTAACAGTGGGTGGAACAAGCCAAGAGCAGAGACCCTCAGAAACAAGAGGAATACCCAAGAGGAGGCCCCAGAGCTGTGACTGAACCTAGTCCTACTCACAGCTCAGCAGGCAGTCAATATCTTGCAAGACCACTAGCCACAGACATAGACATGGACACAATAGAGCCAATTCTCTGAGATGTTTACAACTATGGATGCAGAGTAGCACAGGTAGGACACATGTTTTTAGCCCAACAGCAGTGGGTCTTGATGAAAATGAACATAAGTAGAGTACCAACTGTTGCTTCCAATAAAACAATAGATTTTTTCTTTTTTTGAGTGGGAGTCTCACTCTGTCACCCAGACTGGAGTGCAGCGGCATGATCATGGCTCATGGCAGCCTTAACCTCCTAGGCTAAGACGATTCTTCTGCCTCAACCTCCTGAGTACCTGGGACTGCAGGCACGTGTCACCATGCCCAGCTAATTTTTTTTTGGTAGAGACAAGGTCTTGCTATCATGCCCAGGCTGGTCTCGAACTCCTGGGCTCAAACAATCCTCTGCCTTGGCCTCCTAGAGTGCTGGAATTACAGGCTTGAGCCATCGTACCAGCCAATTTCATGTACTCTTTTTTTTTTTTTTTTTTGAGTTGGAGTCTCACTCTGTCGCCCAGACTGGAGTAGAGTGGCCACTCCCAGCCACCGTAGCCTCGACCTGCTGGGCTCCAGCGATCCTTCCGCCTCAGCCTTCCAAGTAGCTGGAATTACAGGCGTGTGCTGCTACGCCTGGCTAGTTTTTGATTTATTGTAGAGATGAGGTCTTGTCAAGTTGCCCAGGTGGGTTTCAAACCCGCAGCTCAGGCAATCCACTCACCTCGGCTTCCCAAAGCGCTGGGATTACAGGCTGAGCCACCGAACCTGACTTCATGTACTCTTTATGAGTTTATTTTTTAAAAGTTTTCTTCTTATCTTTTCCTCCCCCAAACTCCTCTGAAGGCCCAACTTAGCCCAGACCCCCCAGCTTTTTTACCTTATGCCCTCTCATGCCCTCTGCCTACTTGGGAGACTCGGCCTCAGCAGGAATACTGCCCTTTTACCTGACCAAAAGACCACTTCTTCTCTAAACTGCACCACTGGAGTTCCTTACTCATCTCCTGACACCCCTTCACCTGACCACCTCTGTATGCCAGGCTCTCCCTGATCTTGTCCTCCCAGCTCACTTAGTACCTATCAGTACCAGTTTCTATTTCACCTTAGAAGTGTTCATGAATGCTTCTACACTGTTGGTGGGAGTGCAAATTAGTGCAGCCTCTATGGAAAACAGTGTGGTGATTTCTAAAAGATCTAAAAATTGACCTTCCATATGACCCAGCAATCCCCCTTCTGGGAATATACATAGAGGAACTCATATCATTCTGCAAAAAAGATACCTGCACATGCATGTTTACTGCAACGCTATTCACAATAGCAAAAACATAAAACCAACCATGCTGCCCATTGAAAATGAACTGGGCCAGGTTTGGTGGCTCAGCCTGTAATCCCAGCAATTTGGGAGGCCAAGGCAAGTGGATTGCCTGAGCCCGTGGGTTTGAGACCAGCCCGGACAACTTGGCAAGACCTCGTCTCTATAATAAATCAAAAATTAGCTGGGTGTGGTAGTGCATGCCTGTAGTTTTGGCTACTTGGAAGGCTGAGGCAGAAGGATAGCCAGAGCCTAACAGGTTGATGCTGGGGTGGCCATGAGCATGCCACTGCACTCCAGCCTGGACGACAAAATCAGACTCCAACTCAAAAAAAAACCCAGAAAGTGAACTGGATTAAAAAAAAAAAATGTGGGACCCGCCTGGGCAGGCGAGACCTCATCTCTACAATAAATCAAAAAAATCAGCCGGGCGTGGTAGCGCATGCCTATAATTCTGGCTACTTTGGAAGGCTGA